CCCCCCCCCCCCAATTCTGATGTATTGGCCTATAAGCACCCAGGTGATTGTAATACAGCCTGGTCTGGGACCTCTGGTCTTAAGGAAGTTTGAGGTTCACTAAGGGCCAGGTGCCAAGTACTTTAACATTCATTCCCTGAAGGTTATTATGAAGATTATGGCTTTACGTTCATTTTACAAGAAAGGAAACTGAGACTCAGTTAAAACGCTTGTCTGAACCTTGCACAGGAAGTGGTGGAACTGAGACTACTCGAGGTTTCTCAGACTTTTGAAGAAACCTTCCACATGCACATCTCCCCCCAACACACAAGAGAGACAGTTACACAGAGAGCTGTATGGAAAATGAGCAAGGGTGAAGGATTTGGTGCCTTCTCCTATTGTACTTGCTCAGGCCTCTTTTCAGGTCAACACTTTTCCTCCTTGGCCTGATTTTTATATTTTAAGCATGTATACAGTTGCTTCCTGTCTGTGGGTCTGAAGCTGTGAGATAGGGGCTGGGTTTTGTTCATGATACTTTGGTTTATTTTTACGTGCGGCCAGGAATTCACTGGGCATATAGAACAAGAGGTTGGGGACCTTCGCCCAGAGGATGAAATTAATAGGTGTATGGAACTACTTAGAGCAGTGGGTTGCAATCTTGGTTGCACACTGGAATCACCTAGGGAAGTTTAAAAAAATTCTGTTGCCCAGGCCATATTCCCAGACCAGTTAACATCAGAATTTACACGGATAGGACCCTGATGTGAGTATTTTTTGTAAGGGGAGAGCTACTGTTGAGAATCTGCAACAGGATACTCAGGAGAGATCTAACTGGTTTAAACTCTTCTGATTGAATGGAATTGGTAACCAATACCAATTAATGCCGTGTTTGTTTCTTTTTTTTTATAAAAGATTTTATTGATTTATTTGACAGATCACAATTAGGCAGAGAGGCAGGCAGAGAGAGAAAGGGAAGCAGGCTCCCTGCTGAGCAGAGAGCCCCATGTGGGGCTTGATCCCAGGACCCTGGAATCAAGACCTGAGCTGAAGGCAGAGGCTTTAACCCACTGAGCCACCCAGGTGCCCCCCCCACCCCGTGTTTGTTTCTTATAACCACTCTTGCTCTCCCCTGCCCCACCTCCCCAACCTCATTAACGATGAATTCAAATCTTTGAAACAAGTGAAAAAGGAGGATCCCAGTAGCAATGAGCTGGAAGAGTCTTATTGTCTGCTGCTTTGTGTCCTTACCTTGGTGTCATGCAGGCTCAGGGACAGTCAGAACCTTTTATCCAAGGGCCATTCCCGAATTGGGGTGACTGACGTTTGGAAGGGTGGCCTCTGGAAAGGTTCACAGCTTTCTTTGTTCTGGAGTCTCAGCCTAGATCCAGATGGTTTCTGCCTTTATCTCTTAGTGATTCAGGTGGGGTTCTGGTAGAGATGGAAATGGTCTTCAGAGAGAAGATAATTGGAGTCTTTGAGCGCATTCTCAAATAATCATAGTGTGAGTCTTTAGTGTTGCGGTCTCTGCTCTGAGCCAGTGGCTGCGCTGAGTGCTTTGTGGCATCATCCCCCACGGCCATCCTGGGAGGGAGACACTGCTGTTGTCCCTGTCTGATAGATGGGACAAGACTCAGATGACTCGCCCAGGCTCCCACAACTGGTCAACCAAATGGCAGGGCTGGGCCCTTAAATTCAGGTCTGACTTCAAAACCCAAGTCCTTAGGCACACATTGCCTCCCATCTTTTTTCAAGGCTTTTTTTGTACTTAATAAAGAAGGGAGGGTGGGGCACTCCCTCCTCAATGTATATGTTCCAGCACTTTATATTTCAAGCATGAATGTTGATAAAAATCATGGGCCCAAGGCCGGACGGGACTTGCCCACATCCTGGTTCTGTCACTGACCCACCTCTAGTACCAGGGCACTTTGGGAAGTGACTGAACTTCTCTGGGACGCGCCTGCTGTTCCAATCTACGTTGGAAATAACAGTAGCTGCGTTCCAGCATTGTTTGGATTTTAAATGTTGTATGTGGTGGTAGAGATGAAAACTGGTACCTACTGGGTGGGGGCAGGAAGGGCGTTGGGGGGGTGCATAGAGGGGCTTTTCTGGAACCATGAAAATGTTCTCTATTTTGATCTGAGTGGTGACTGAACAGATACATATACTGACCAAAATTCCTCAAACCACGCACTTAAAATGTACTTTCCTATGTGCAAATAATCTTTCAAAAAGGTATTGGAAAGTAAAAGTACATTGAAGTATACTTTGATTTGTTTGTTTCTTAGGTGCGTTACAAAACACAAGACCATTTCCCAAAACACATTATTTTTGTGTGAATTTAGATCAGAAAGGGTGCTTTAAAAAGTATTTCCATTTTGGAGCAATTTTCCCTAACTGAAAAACCCCAAAACCCCACACCTGTAGGCCTTCACCCTCCCTCACCTCCCCTAAGTCTTCAGAGTTTTGAGAAACTCTTTCTTGTCCCCAGTTACTTCTCTCTTCCCCTGGACAGAGTATTTCTGGGGGAAGTGTTGGTGATAACCTTTAGTGTAGGGTTTCTGGGGACTGATTTCAAAGGAAAGCTGGAAGGGAGGGGTCACTGCTTTCTCTTTATTTGTGGCATTAGGCCCTAGAGACATCAGGTGATAAAGCAAGAACACTTTCTTGAGAAAACACTTTTCTTTCCAGGAGCCCATTCTTCCTGTGCCGCCTCCTCCAGGGCCCCTACTAGAGTCCCCCAGTGGGTGATATATGGGCCACTCTTGGGTGGATGGAGGTTGAGAGGGATGGCCCTTGCCTGTGCTATTAGTGATCAGTGGATGCAGGTTGCCACTCATCATTAGCCCCTTCTCCCATTGAGAAACAGCAGTTGTGTTTTTCCTATTATAAATGTAATATATGTTAATTGTGGGAGATCCTGAAAAGATAGAAAGGCATAAAGAATCTAAAAAACAATCCTTTTTCAGGATCAGGGTATTGTTTTTTAAAGCTTTGTCCTGTCAACCGCCCCCAGGGGCATGCCTGTAGTCAAAGTTGAGACAATGAGGGAGAACCACTGAACATTTCACAAAGAGGATTGGGGCTTGCCTTGGGTGATTGTGGGTAAGGATTCAGGGAAGTGGTGCTTTGCTCTGTATTGAATGCTGTCAGGAAGGAGGGTTAATTCTTGGGTGGGGCTTCAGTAATTCCTAAGTTGAAGGTAGGGAAGAATGGAATGGGGCTAGAGCTTTAACTGGTAAAGAAGCAGCAGGGAGGGGGCACCTGGGTGGCTCAGTGGGTGAAAGCCTCTGCCTTCAGCTCAGGTCATGATCTCAGGGTCCTGGGATTGAGCCCCCACATCGGGCTCCCTGCTCCGCGGGGAGCCTGCTTCCTCCTCTCTCTGCCTGCCTCTCTGCCTCCTTGTGATCTCTGTCAAATAAATAAATTTAAAAAAAAAAGAAGAAGCATCAGGGAGTCACATTAGTTGGGATATGGCAAGGTTTGGTCACTTTTTCTGTTTCAGGCAATGTTCTTGTTTTTGTCTGTGTTTAGACTTAATTACAGAATAGTCTTGTTTATGTCTTGGCCCATCAGCCACTGAGTGGCCTTGTCAGATCGTGACATGCTGTATGAATCGTTCTTGTTCGGAGGAAACGTCAAGGCCCAGAGATGAGTGGTGGCCCAGGTCCTGGCAATTAGGGGCCACTTCCTCTGTACTGTGTCCCAGACTCATAGAGATTCGTCCCGCTCTCAGACATCTTCTCCAGCCATAGACCCTTACCTGTTAAACAAATGTTCTCGTTGAGTACAGCCTCCTTTCATAGGCCTGCTTAAATCAGATGGTATGGTCCATTTCTTTGAGAGGGACACAAGCTGGCAGTGCCATTAAGAAGACTGTCGTCCAATCTTGCTGTTCGGGGTGGCGCTAGTACAGGAAGTCTCTAATTTTGTAATAACTTGCTTCCAAGTGTTTTTAATGTCTGTCATGTAGTCCTGAGAAACACTTTTTCCCCCTGACAGGAAGGATTAGGAGTGGTAGTTGGGATCGCACTCGATTCATAAAACCTGATTTCATCTGCAGTTCAGAGGTTGAGTGTGACAATAAGGAAACCGGGAGAGACCTGGGCAATGCTGGAAATTGCTTTAGTATGCACACAGGGTGTTGGCATGTGGGGAACAGGCAGAAAGGAAGTCGTCAGGACACAAGATCAAGTGATAAACTTGCACTCACAGGGTCAGCAGGGGAGGTCAGTTTATGAGGCTATCCGGATGGGGTTTGGGGCACCCAGTAACCCAGCTCCCACCAGTTGTGGGAGTCTGGGGGCCCAGTTGGCCTCTGATTTTTTTTTTTTTTTTTGAGACTTTATTTATTTATTTGACAGCTAGAGATCGCAAGTAGGCAGAGAGGCAGGCAGAGAGAGAGAGAGAGAGGAGGAAGCAGGCTCCTGGCTGAGCAGAGAGCCAGCCCATCAGACTCGATCCCAGGACCCTGGGAACATGACCTGAGCCGAAGGCAGAGGCTTTAACCCACTGAGCCATCCAGGCTCCCCTGGCCTCTGATTTTAAGAGGAGCCAGAAATCCAGGGGTTTTTTTGGTGAACTCTCCCGTGTTGTCAACCTTGGGAGCCACCTTTAAGATTTAAATGTGGTATAGACATGGGCCAAGCAAAAGCCCTCTGGAGGCCAGATTCAGCCCAGAGGCTGCAAGAGGTAAAGCAGGCCTGGTGCCGTGACTCTGGTGTCCCCATGTCTTCTCCACTGGCAGGAAGAGATGTCAGGAGAAAGTGTGGTGAGTTCAGCGGTGCCAGCAGCTGCTACCCGCACCACTTCCTTCAAGGGCACGAGCCCCAGCTCCAAGTACGTGAAGCTGAATGTGGGCGGGGCGCTCTACTACACCACCATGCAGACGCTGACCAAGCAGGACACCATGCTGAAAGCCATGTTCAGCGGGCGCATGGAAGTGCTCACGGACAGCGAAGGTAAGTCCACCGTCCGGGCTCTGGAGACGGGCTTGTGGCCCGGGGGCTTCATTCTGGTTCAGAAGGCCAGCGGCACAGGGGTAATTGTCCACACAGCTACAGATTTCCAGCTGTGCTCCGTGTTGTCTCAGAGTGCGGGGAGCCTCGGCAGTGAGTCCCCGGGAGACCAGATCTAGTCTGGGGGGTGTTGTAAAGGAGGGTTTCCCTGAGGAGGTCACAGATGAGCTGACATGTGAAGAGGAGTTGGAGTCATCTGGGTGGGGACTCGTAGTCCTGACCCAGGTGTCGATAGGCCGTGTGACCTTGAGAAAGTCCAAGCCTCAGCTCTGAAATGGTGGCTGGGTGAGCTCTCCTGGTCGGTCCCTTGCCAGTTCTCAGCGGTGATTCTGTGACTTTGGAGTGGAGCTTGAGCGAGGGAGAGACGTGAATGTTTTCTTGGACCCTTGTCCTCCCGGGATGGGGGCCTGACAGAGACTCAAGATCTGGACTGAGTCACTGCTTCTTGTGTTGTAGCTGGTGATTCCAGCCAGGTGACATGGGTATAGTGATACCTGCTTCATGGGGCTGTTGGTGCGCAGTATTCCAAATACATACATTCAGTCCGTGTTTTTCTTTCCTTTTTCCTCATGGCAAGTCACGTTCGTGAAAGGTGAAGAATTCTTTAAAGTGATCTTGCTCTGCACCTGGAACAATCCAAGAGCAACTGGCAAGGGGAACAGTCTTGCCTGGTTGGGTTTACGGGGCAGGTCACATGGGGTTTAAGGATGGCACCATCCTTTGCTTCTTTGGCCTGAGATTGCGCAAGATCTGGCCAGACCACAGCCTGGCTGGACCCTGCCTTACCTGTTTTTGAGGTCGGCTGCTGTGCTAATGCTCGTGCCTTCCCTGGGACATTGGTTCCTGGGAAGGTGGGCCAGTTTTGTTACAGGTAGGTGGGATTGGGGACCCGAAGCTTGAGCTGTGCGCTAGTTAGTGTGTTTCCCTTGGGGTCCTAGAGAAGGCTGGGCTGTGGGGCTTGAGGTTCTGCTTCCCTGGGCTTCCAGGGAAACTCGGGGTTCTGGCCAAGCATCAGGTACATGAGGTTGGAGCCCCAGAGCTTCCTTCCATGTCTCACCCAGAGAGCACAGAGCTTTTTATGAGTGGGAGGATCCCCTTTGCAGAGCCACACCCAGCATCGCCCAGGGGAGTATTTGTAGAGACCGAGACAATAGCGCCCCAGCTGCAGAAGGAAACAGACCTTATCTGAGAACCCAGGATTGTTGTAGCTTTTCTTCCGCCCTCCCCAGTCTCTGGTAGGGCTCAGGAAAAGCGGCGGAGTCGCTGAGTTGGAGCTAAGTTGGAGCTAAGCTAAGTTGGAGCCTCATCTCCTTGCCGTCCTAACGCCACACCGGGAACAAGCCGGTGCTCAGGCTCATCCATCCCACAGTGGGAGAGACACAGGGGTGCCCCCCGGGCTCCTGCTTGGGCTTCTGAACAGCTGCTGGAGGCTGCACTGGCCCCGGTGCTTCCTGGACACCATGGCCCCTCCGGGGGGAGCAGGGCTGCCTTTGGCACTCCGACCCCGGACATTTTCGTGAGGCTCCGCTAGAGCTCGAGCTCCATCCAGCCCTCCACCTGCCTCGAGATGCTCACCGTGTGACATCTCACTGTTTTTCACTCCTCAACTTCACCCTTCCCGGGGTGGTACTGTTTGTTGCCACCTTTCAATAAGTAAGAGATCCTTTTCGAAAGCTATGGGACTTAAAAAAAAAAAAAAAAGCCACTGAGCTCAGGGCTTGCTGGCTCATAGTCTGGGCTGGCCTTGGTTCGCCGAGGGCCCAGCCCCCGGGCCAGGTTGCCTGGGCGCAGCAGCCTACAGGGTCATCGCCAGCTTTGTGTCTGGTCTTTGGCCCACCCTGAGCCAGGCAGCGCCATCCTGCTGGCCCTGGTGAGTACACCACTCGGCCTGACTGGTGGCCCGAGTGTTGGCCAAGGTATACCCTTGGGTCTACAGATTAACCTGAATGTCCCGCATCTCACAGCTGCACCCAGGGCTTCGGGTGGGAAGCCTGTTGGCTGCAGTGAGGTTTGCCACATGCAGGCCCAAGCAGCGAGTGCAACTCCGTGAGGCGAGTGGGTGCAGGAGCGTGTCCTGCTGGCTGAGGAATTGGGGGCGGGGGGCTCCGAGGGCACGGAACAGCGAGGTACTGAGCTGCTGGAAACCCCTGAGGGGTGCCCGAGGGGAGGACCTGGGCCCCAGGGTGGGTGATGGACTCTCCCTTGTGCCCCGTGCCCTCCTGCCTGTTGGCGATTTGTACTGCCTGTGTTTGGTTCCTGAACGGGCAGTTTGCAGTGAGTGGGTCTGGGCCCTGGTTCTGTCCCAGGGTTACAGTTACAGCTGCTGTGTATGTGGCACTGGGCTGATGTAGACTCATCTGGCATCTTCTGGCAATAGGACAGAGGGCGGGTGACTTTCTCTGAGCTTGTTTCCACTTTTCAAAGTTGTGAGGGGTAATGCTTTCCAGGGTTGTGACGGGACTAAGTGAGGACATGAACAGTGGAAGGCTCTTGGTGAAGCTCACGACAGTTGGGAGACTCGGTCTGTGGGGACTGCTCACTCCTGCTGCGGCCTGCCTGGGTGGGGTGTGTCCAGGGGGAAGGATGGGTGCTGTGAGGGGCTGGAGAAGCAGGTCTTGGCAGTGCCCAGGGAAGAAGGGGCCTGCCTTGGCCTTGGGGGTGAGTGCTCTGCAGTTCTATCTTGCCCCCAAAGGATGGCTTTCCAGACTCCTCCCCAGAGAGGCGTGGCTCTTCCAGTAGTGGCATTTTTACCTGATGCCTTGTCACCGTGGGTGGATGTGGCACCTCTCCTAACAAGAGTTCTGCCTCTGTACTCACCTGTGGTTGCCTGTTTCATAACCCTGTTCCTTCGTACAGAGCTTTCCTTCCCACTCTCCCCTCCACAGTGGTTTCTGGTCTTGCTAACGTTTCTGGAATGAGGCAGTATGTGAATCAGATTAAGGAAGGGAATCATTAATCTTCTTATCAGCATGCATTCCCCTGGAAACCAGTGGGGAAATCAGTTGTCCTATTGTGGGAAAACCATCATACCTGGTAGTTTCCCTGAGATCTCCATGCCTCCTGCTTAAATTAGAATGCACTCTTCCATAAAATTCTGAATACATTGAGAGCTTTCAAAATGTGATTAATAAAACAAAATCCCTCATGCCCCTGACGTGAAATGCTGAGGCCAAGGAGCAAATGGTCAAAAAAGAATTCTTGAGGCATCTTTGGTGCAAAAAAGGTGGTTTTTATTAACGCGCATGGTCAGGGACAGGCCCCGTGAGCAGGAAGAGCTGCACTGAGGTCCTGAGGAATGGCTGGTTATATACTTTCAAGTGGGGAGGCGGTTAGGGGTAGCCTAAGTCTCAAAGGGATTTGGAAGTCAGGTTTCCAGGACCTTAGGGGCTAGCTGCTGTTCGGATAAGGTCATTTACTACTGTCTAGTAAACCCTTAGTCATGAGACCTTTAAGATGAATTTCCAGGGCACCTGGGTGGCTCAGTGGGTTGAGCCTCTGCCTTCTGCTCAGGTTGTGATCTCAGGGTCCTGGGATAGAGCCTGATGGGCTCTCTGCTCAGCAGGGAGCCTGCTTCCTCCTCTCTCTCTCTCTGCCTGCCTCTCTGCATACTTGTGATTTCTATCTGTTAAATAAATAAATAAATAAATAAATAAATAAATAAAATCTTTTAAAAAAGATGTATTTCAGTGGGCCTTATGTTTAGAGGATGATTGGCAACATGCATTTGAGGCGGGTAGAGGTAAAGGAACTTTCCAAAGGGATTTTTGTATGTTAAGACTTTCAGGATCCTAGAGATAGGCTAATCAGGCCTTTGCCCCCAGCAAAGTGTTAACATCGAGGCAGATGGGTACTGGGAGAAAGGTCACTATGCCTGTCTCAGGTCATCTTGTCAATGGACTGCAAGTTGTGAGGAGATTTAATTTTTTCTACATTTCTTTTGCCTTTGTTCTCCACAGCACCCCCACTCAGACAAGGAATAAAACATTACCTGGGTTAATGGGGCCTCTCTTTACCTTTTTCATTTGCCTCTCTCCCTTCCAGAGGTAACCACTTCCCTGACCTTGGGCTCAGGAGGTGAATTTCTACCTCTATAATACAGTGACTCAGCTGGGAGCTAAAGCCTCAGGCCTGGATTCTCCCCCCAAAAGCACCCCCTGCCATGCGCTGGGTGTTAGCACTTCAAGGAGCTCTGCAGGGGATTCTAATGTACATCCAGTGGTGGAAACCACTAATGAGTATCTGTCCAGGAATTACTTTTGCTGCCCTGTTTCTGTCCCTAAACATTGTATTGTTGGTGTGTTTTCCCACATTATATAGATGGTGTTAACATTGTATGTAGCCTCTTTGCTTTCTTAGTGTTATGGTTGTTAGATCGAGCCGTGACTAATACATAGCTCTAGTTCAGACATTCATGCTAGTGTTCCCTTTGGGGAATGTACTGTAGTTTATGGATCCATATTTTGGTGAGAGTTGTTTCAGTTGCTTCCAGTGTTCACCATGTGGAATATCACCTTTCTTGAACACTCCCTGGCATGTGTGAGTGTCCCTGGGACAGAGCTTCCTTTGCCGCATCATGGCACACACAGAAAGTCCTATTTCTGTTCTGGTAAATGAAGAGACTGTGGACCCAGCCACCTGAGGGGCTGCAGTGTTGAGGTCTTACCCATCACTGGGAGGTCTGTCCTGGAGTTGACTCCCAGGAGGGGAATCTGGGCTAGCATCTGTGGCTGGGTTGATATTAGCTGTTGTGCTGACTTACGAACTCCCCACCGTCCCAGTTTGTGCCAACCCTAGGCACAGACCTCGTAATTATTGCCAGTCTGCTGGTTATGATCTGATACTCAGGTTTTACTTAACATTTCCTAGTTTCTAGCTTATTGAGCAGCTTTTTGTCATTTGTATTTTATCATTTAGCTGCCTGATTGCATCTTATATACACATTTTCCTTTTTTTTTTTTCTTACTGCTTTATGAAAGTATTCTGGATCCATTTGTTTGTGGTTTTGTACATATTTTCTCCCAGTCTGACTTGTTACAGCTTTTCTCATGGTGGGTTTTTTTTTTGTTTGTTTTTGATGCTTCAAAGTTTTCTTTTTTTTTTTCCTTTACAGTAGGTCTTTGATCTACCTCACTGGTGCTCAACCAGGAAAGATATTGACCTCCAGGGGACATTGGGCAATGTCCAGAGACCCTTCTGGTTTTCACAGTTTAGGGGTGGGAATGCTCCTGGCACCTAGTGGATAGTGGCCAGGGATGCTGCTACATACCCCACAAGGCAGAGGACAGTCCCTCCATGACAAAAAATTATCCGGTCCAAAATGTCAGTAGTGCTGAGGCTGAGAGGCCCTGCCCCACAGCTTCCTGGAATCTGAATTTGTAACAAGCACCTCAGGTGACTTACGAACAGGCAAGTATGGGAACCACAGAGAGTATAAAAACCTTACAGTGCTAAGGAGAGGTCAGCGAAGTCCCCCGTGCCCTGTGTCCCGTCTTACCCTCCCCCCACCAACACCAACCCGCCCCTGGAGGTGGGGACAGGGAAAGGAGAAAGGAGAGAAGTTCATGGCATGCAGTTGGGGCTGGGAGGGGGCAAGCCTTGTCACCCAGTCCCCGGTCCTGAGAGAAGCCTTCTCCAGGATACCCTGAAAGCCACGGGGACTTTCATGAGGGCGGAATGAGCCTCCTCTGGACACTGCTGCCACTCTCTTCTCCAGGGATGATGAAGAGATGCGGGGAGGGCTCATTGTCCAAGACCGCATTTAGTGATGCCCTTGTGCTACATGTTTCCCTGTGCATTCTCTCATCGTACCTTTGTGCCAGCCCTGAGGGGGACCAGATTTAGGAGAGGAAGCTGGGGGACAGGGAGGTTTGGTGCGATACCCATATCATCCAGCAAGTAGGCGGCCCAACTGGATTTCTAACACAGGCCCTTGCCCTTGACCACTGGGCTGGGTTCCGTCTCCCAGACCATTCCACAGCCTCTGGATCTGTGCCTGCCTATTCTGCTCTGCAGTCTTGCTGGATGGGCCGCCGGCCGCCGGGCTGCCCTGGCGGGTGCAGCCTTCTGCAATAGCCGTGCTCCCCGGCAGCTGGACAGACTCCCCACAAGCAAGGCACTGCTTGACTTCCGTTTGCTTTTCTACACACTGGGCATTCAAGCTGTTTCAAAGGGGTAGATTCCGGCTTCGAAAGTAGCTAACGTATTTTAAAATCAGAATGCTAATTGAAACCTCATGGCGAGTACAGCCGGCTCCTTTGCCCTTATTTGTCCAAAGTATGATTCCTTCACCACAAGCATTTCCTGACGGCATTCTTGAGCTGGAGCCCAGTGTCACGGTCTGCCTGTTCGTTTATGGAAACTCTGGACTGTCACTTGAATAATTGATTTCAGGGGCCCCTGCTCGTTCAGAGCAGCTAAGTTGTCCATGCATCAAAGGCAGAAACGTGGACAGTTTCTTCCCAGAGCTGCTGAGTTAAGTGGGTTGCCATTTCTTTGAAGACTGAGGCTCTACTCAATTCTGGTGGAAGGAGCTTTCCTGTGAGTTTCTTACTTGCTTGTGGTCTCGTCCTATCTCCCTGACTTGGGAATGTCCCTAAACCTCTCTGAGACTCTGTTGTCATCTGTGGACAGTGCAGGGGACTTAGCCTCCTTCCAAAAGAACTGTTGGGAAGATACTGTGGTCCTTCCACACCTTGTCTGCTCATTGGCAGGAAGTCACTTGATCCAGGGTTAGCGGAGAAGCCATAGAATGCTGGCCTGCAGGCCCCGTGCAACCTGCAGATAGTTTTTCCTTGCCCTAGAGCGCATTAATGACCTCTTGGTTTACCACTGTTTAAAAATCAAGAGGTTTCACGGAGAAATCTACATTTCTAGCTTCCCCTGGAATATCAGAGGCACACGCAGCCCTAGGCCCACCTTCCTGCTTGGCTGTTCTTGGCTGGAGTAAGAAGAGCCTCTCCATCTCCTGTCCCCAGGGGGCAGGGCACATGCTGTCTGGTCATCCCCCGGGCCCAGGACCCCGTAGGCATCTGAGCTGTATGCACGTCCATACTTCAGTGGGATGAGGTTTAGCAGTCACTGTCATGGTGATGTGATTTACCACACCTGTGAAGACCTCTTCCTTCCTTGAAACCAGGGTTTAACTCCGGGCCACACGATTGCATTGTGTTTGCCACACTGGGAATTACTCTTCCCACTATAGTCAGGAAACCATAACCGCGGGGAAGTACCAAGCAAAAGCCTCTGGAGGGATAAGAGCAGACCTTTAACCAAAGGTCCAGGAGCCATGGGCTGAGGAGTTTATAGGACAGGAGTATGGAAAAGGCCTTCTTACAAAACTCTCCTAGGGATTGTTGCAAATGCCAAATAGATACAGTGCCTCTAACCCTGAGAGCATACTTGGCAGGGCTGGATTTGGGAAGGGGATGGTGGGTGGACTTGTGACTCTGGATATGAAAGGGGTATCTTTGCTGCTCTTGGCTTTTGTGTCTCAGCGAGGCCTGGGGGTCTGCAGAGGACTCGGGACAGGGTGCCATGGTATTAAGAGTGGAAGTGTGGGTCCCTTCTCCCAAACTGAGCAACAGTGGAGGAAAGTGGGCATAAAAATTAGAGATTCCTGTTTAAACCTAACTGCCCTGTGCCTTGGTGTCCTCTCACCTGTAATAGGGGATAAGAGACCTAGGGAAGCCCCTTGCAGGACTTGCCCTGCTGGCCTGGGGGAGGCGGGACTTCTCTACAACCTGGCTTCTTTCTAGAGCCTCTGTCCTCTGTCAAGGCAGGTCTTTGTTTCATCCCTTCATCTTGTCCCTCCACTTCCCAGGCTTAAGCATTGTTTCTTTCTGCAAGAAACAACCCTCCCCACCCCCACCATATATTTGCATTTCTGAAAAGGAATCGTGAAAACCTGGGCATCCCTAGTGGAGGTATAGTAGGCTAGTCCCCAGATTGGAGAGGTCATCAAGAAGCTGAAGGGCTTGCCTTCCTGGTCCCCACCCCCAGGAGTGTCTTATGGGGCTTGGTTCTGGTCAGTAGTTGGCACATTTTCCCATAATTAATGAAAGCACGTTCCATCTCCTCATGCTAGACTGAACTGCCTGAGACAAGGTCTGTCTCGTTTACCGTCTTCTCTGCAGTCGCTGTCACTAGCCAGTAAGTGCTTATTTGGGGGAGTTAAGGAAGGAACATCCCAAGGTGGTAGTGGTGAGTGTTGGGGATCCCCCCTGGGGGCCAGAGGTTACAGTCTCTGCTTCCTTAGAAATGGCTCTGTTATTTGAGAATCTGAAAAAAGCATCACAGAAAGAGGGAGAGTAGATATTTTTACCTCCGGCTTTCCCCGCCATCGTCAAGGTGTGGTCATTTGGACCCATTTTATCCAGGTGTGGTGCACTCTTGGAATGGCTAAGGGATTTTTTTTTTTTTTAAGATTTTAATTATTTATTTGACAGAGAGCACAAGCAGGCAGAGAGAGGGGGGGAAGCAGGCTCCTCGCTGAGCAAAGAGCCCGATGTGGGGCTCGATCCCAGGACCCTGGGATCATGACCTGAGCTGAAGGCAGAGGCTTTAACCCACTGAGCCACCCAGGCACCCCTGGCTAAGGGATTTTTGAAGATATTTTAGACACATTCTCTGAGGCCCCAGCGGTCCTGGCCTCCAAGAGAGCCTGAGACCAAGTGAGTCCGTGGCTGTGGTTGTCTCCAGGCATCGGGCCCTGCAGATCATTCCAGTGCTTCCCAGACAGGTCAGCCTTTTGCTGATAGCGAGGCAGGTGGAGCTGCTGCCCTCTCCGTGGTCCTGCTCTTCCCTGGGTGGTGGAGGGAGCCCCGGAGACCCCATTTGTCTTCACCTCCCAGGAGACGAGTGCCCGTGTAACTAGGCCCCCCCTTTCTCCTCCTTCCACCGCAGGCTGGATCCTTATTGACCGGTGTGGAAAGCACTTTGGTACGATACTCAACTACCTTCGTGATGGGGCGGTCCCCTTGCCCGAGAGCCGGCGGGAGATTGAGGAGCTGCTGGCAGAAGCCAAGTACTACCTGGTCCAGGGCCTGGTGGAAGAATGCCAGGCAGCCTTACAAGTAGGTATCACCCTTTCTCCCCATACGAGTGGGGAGGTACCAGGACCACCTGCTTTCCTTATTTTCCTTCTCCACGAAATGGGGGCAGTTCCTTCCTCACTGAGATGTGAGAGTTCACAAATAACCCAAGAGCCAAGAGCTTCTCTCTCCTTTGGTCAGTGACTCCTTAGAGGCTTCCCTGTAATGCTTAGGCCACCTAACTACCCTCTGGCTTTTAGTTGCCGTGGTGTTGGCTCATCTCCTATGTACATTGAAACCCTTCGGTATGGGGTATAAAACCTAATCCGCTTTCTGGATGCATCTCAGGACTTATTCTCATCCCATCAGTCCTTGTTTCAAGTCTTATGTAGCCTTTGCAGACTCAGACATCCCTCACTTCTCAGCAGGATCATTGGGATCAAGTCTGGTGATAGCAGAATCCCTATAATAGTAAAGTGCTCCTGGACATAGCCCGCAGCCAACACCATTTATTTATAAAGCAAAGTTCCAACATGGCCTGGACTCATAAGAGTCCCTTTTGGTCTTCATGGGAATTGAATCTGTATATGGGAGGCTCTTGTCTGTGCCTCCCTCAGGCCACATGTTTGGCTGGCCCTCCACTGGAGCAGTACCTTTACTGCCTAGCTCCTTGAGGAACTGTTATTTCCACGTACCACCTCTACCCTGAAAGTCTGAAGTCATTGTAAATCTGACTGTATGCTATAGCCTTTACTTTAGTATTTTTATTTCCTTTTTGTTTGTTGAAGTAATGTATGTACATCATACTTTTCTGCTCTGTTATTCTTTTTTTGTTTGTTTAAGATTGTATTTGTTTATTTGGGGGGGCGGGTGAGGGTGAGGGAGACTCAAGCAGACTCCACGCCGAGTGCAAAGCCCGACGTGGGGCTCGATCTTACATCCCTGAGATCATGATCTGAGTTGAAACCAAGAGGTGGACACTTATCCGACTAAGCCATCCAGCTGTCCCTCCTCTGTCAATTCTTTCAACAGTTGTTTACTTTCATATTTCTTATACTCCTGTTTGTTGACATTTCAGTTTTCAACATTATGCTCTGGTGTATAGAAAATAAAAATTTAGCTCATGCAGTACCACCAGCCCAACCACTACCAAACGTGTACACATGTTCTTTCTCTTCTTTTCCCAATATAGTGTTTACCACAGCTTTGGTTAAGTCAGTATTCAGAGTTGACATCGTGATGTCTTCATATTGTTAGCAGTTGAGTCATGAAGTACACAGTGAAAATTTTCTTCATTGTGCAGCTTTTCAGTTTGCTAGAGTTAGTGATTGCCTCATTGTTTTGTATGCTTGGTTTTCTAAGTGCATAGCCCGAATTTATCCCTAAGTGGTCAGAAAGGGCAATCTCTTCCTGGCGTGTTCAGACACACCAGTGAATCTTTGTTTCTTCTTTGTATTAGAAACAAGCTCTCTTGGGTTCCCATTCTGTAGTTTCTGTTAGTTTAAGATCGAACGTCCAGGACTGATCTCCTCTCAGCTTCTCTTGCTTTTATCTTCCTGTTCTACTTTTTCAGAGGTTTTCTTTAGTTTTATCTTTTCAACCCTTCTTTCGAACTTTTCATTTCTGCTATCATATTTCTAATTTCCAAGAGCCTTTTCATGTTCTCTGAGTGTTCTTTTTTATATAGAACACTGCTCTTGTTTCATAGGATTCAGTATCTGCTCTCCTCTGTCTTGAAGTTTTCTTTCTGCTCCCCTTGTCATGACTCATTCCACTTTCCTCTTTATTTTGGTTTCAGTCTCATGTTGAAAGGCTTTCCACATATAATCTGATAATCTTTGGTCTTTTAAAATTTAAGACTAAGGTTCTGAAAAGCTATATGTGTGTGGGTGAGCCTTGTTGTCCATTGGGCTTTAGTGGTAGATGATACGTCAGTGGGAACCCCCAGTGTCAGAATCTGTAAGCCTTTTCCTTGGACAGATCAGATTCCTGTGGAGGAATCCTCTACTCTCTTGCCTGGTAGGGATAAGCCTGACTGACTGCCTTTTGGGATCTGAATAGGAGAAGGGGGGTTGCTGGGCCCATCCCCCCCCACCCCTCATTTATAGTGTGTGGACCATTCTCCGAATCCCCCTCTTTTCAGAAGAGCGGCTCAGCCCTGTCGTCATCTGTACAAACCACTCTAGGAAAGCAGACTTTCTCCTGCCAGGGGAAGGGGATCCATGTGGGAGGGTCAGCTCTCAGTGGTGTTTCTGCCGACTGGCTAGCAATCCTCTGCCCTTGCCCTCTGCCAACCAGCCTTCAGAACTGTTCTTTGAAAACCTCCAGGATTCTTTCCCATCTTTGGACTTAAGTTGCAGCATTCTCTTTCCCCTCAGTTATCCGTCATCTTCCCAGTCTGAGATTTTTGACATCTTTGTCTGTAGACCTCATTTCTCCCATTTTTTTCCTCCTTAAGGCCCAGACTTTTTAAGTTCTTCTATAGTTGTTACAGTGGGGTGCCTCAGTCATATTTCATCTGCCATGTTTAGAGTTTATTTGTAAGTGACTCCCTCGGCTGGGGAAGTGTGTCATCGTTGTTAGGGTTTACTGATCGCCCCGGCCAAAGAACCTGACTCTTGGCCCTCCCTTCCCCGAAATCACTGGTGGTAAGAGTCCTCCTCTCTTCCCAGTGCTGGTGGCCCCATCTTCCCTCGCCAGAACTCTGTCTTTGCCTGGCAGGCCAGCTTAAATAACCTGATGCTGGGCAGGCCTCCTAGGCTGAAAGCATATTTTGTTCCAGCAGAACAAAGATACTTACGAGCCTTTCTGCAAAGTTCCTGTCATCACCTCATCCAAGGAAGAGCAGAAACTTATAGCGACTTCAAATAAGGTATGTTGGAGGCACCCCTGTGGCCTTTCTTTCACTACCCAAATGATGAATAAGGTTTGAAATAGAAACCTGTCGAAGTGCCCGAGCAAGGCCTGAGCCTTTATCAGAATGGAACCGCAGTTCATCTTGTGTTGACCTCCCTCCCCCAGCTGCAGGTCCCGCAGTCTCCCTCTGCACCCCCGCCCGCCCCCTCCCACAGTCTGCCAGCTATGCCTGGCCGCCCCCTTGACGTGGTGGGAGGGCCCAGCCCCGTGGGAAGCCCACAGCACCTCCACCCCAAGTGACTCTTCCCTTTCTTTTTCATAACCACACTCAGCCAGCCGTGAAGCTGCTCTACAATCGAAGTAACAACAAATACTCGTACACCAGGTAAGGTGGCAGCGGGACGGGCCACCGCATTTGCTAGGAGAGCCTTGCTTACACGGGCCAGGCCTGGCCCCCCTGTTCTTCTGCAGGGAGGACGGCCCTCCCCTGCTCAAGGATGCCCAGGGACACAGGTGATAGATATGAGATTGAATTCACACTACCACGAAGGGTGCCCTTTTAAAGTATACAATTCAGTGGGTTTTAGTGTATTTACAGAGTTGTTTAGCCGTTACCATGTGCCTGCTTGGTGAGGATTTTCATCCCCTCCAAAGAAACCCATCAGCAGTAACTCTTCGTTCCCCTCCAGTGCCTGCCCCCTTGCCCCCGACTGGATTCCTTCACTTAGCATCATGTTGTCAGGGTTCATCCTCGTTGGGGCGTGTGTGTTAATACCTCGTCCCCTTTTAGGGCTGAGTCAGACTCCAGCGTGTGGCTCTTCTCTGCATTTGTTGATCCGTTTGTCAGTGGAGGCACAGTCAGGGTTTCCACCTCAGGGCCATTGCGGATACTGCTATGAACATCCGTATGCACATTTATTTACAGTAAAAATGAAGGTTTTTATTTCTCTTGGGGGTACCTAGGAGTGGAATTGCTGGGTGCATTGGTAACTCTAGTTTTAGTCATTAGACCTGCCCAGCTGTTTGCCCAAAGCAGCTGCACCATTTTACATTCCCACCAACAATATATACAGGTTTCTAGAATGTTTTCTGGCTCTCAGGACCATGTGGTTTCAGCTGTAGGGGGTTTAATGAGGTTCCTCAAGACCCAAGAATGACCCAAGATGAAAAGTCTCCCTTGGGCATTTGCATTCTCTTAGTCCTGGGGCTCGCAGGGCTCCCTCCATGCTCTCACTTGGTGCCCGTGCCCACAGGCCCCGAGTCGCTCCCAGTTCTTCCCTGGCCACAGCACGGTGGCCGTCCCAGCCTGGGGTGTGGAGACACACACCCGCAGTCAGGACCAGCCGGTGCTCACCTTCTCAAATGCTCTTTTACAGCAATTCTGACGACAATATGTTGAAAAACATTGAGCTCTTTGATAAGCTCTCTCTGCGCTTTAATGGAAGGGTCCTGTTCATAAAGGATGTCATTGGGGACGAAATCTGCTGCTGGTCCTTTTACGGGCAGGGCCGCAAGATTGCTGAGGTCTGCTGCACCTCCATTGTCTACGCCACTGAGAAGAAGCAGACCAAGGTAAGAGCTCTGAGGGCACGGCTCTGGGTGGCTAGTCTGCAGTGCATACTGGAACTGTTCCCCTTTCCCCTGGAGCAAAACAAACGAAAAGACGGACAGGCTTTAAAAATGCTTTCCTTAGGGGCGCCTGGGTGGCTCAGTGGATTAAAGCCTCTTCCTTCAGTTCAGGTCATGATCCCAGTGTCCTGGGATCGAGCCCCGCATCGGGCTCTCTGCTCAGCAGGGAGCCGGCTTCCCCCTCTCTCTCTCTCTGCCTGCGCTCTGCCTACTTGTGATCTCTGTCAAATAAATAAAATCTTTAAAAAAAAAAGCTTTCCTTGACACGTGATTGCTCACTGTGAAAATAGTCATCATCTTCGGGACCCTGGAGACAGTCACGTGTAGGTCTTGGAGAAACAAAATGGCATTTTCCTTTTTGACTGTTACCAGACAGGGAGAGTCGTACTGCAAGCACCTCACTGTCTTTGCCATAAATGCTGATTCAGAGCAGTGCCTGGCTGGTTCTGTCAGTGGAGTGTACAACTCCTGACCTCTGGGTTGCGAGTTCTAGTCCCATGGTGGGTGTAGAGGTAACTTAAAACCTTAAAGGAAAAAAGTCGGGGTGCCTGGGTGGCTCAGTTGTTAAGCGTCTGCCTTTGGTTTAGGTCGTGATCCCAGGGTCCTGGGATTGAGCCCTGCTTTGGGCTCCCTGCTCTGTGAGAAGCCTGCTTCTCCCTCTCCCACTCCCCCTGCTTCTGTTCCCTCTCTTGCTGTGTCTCTGTCAAATAAATAAGTAAAATTTAAAAAAAAAATGTGGATTCAGATGTATCCTCATACCACCAGCATTATCTCCTGTCAGTGATGGGACACAGCCTGTGCTGTTCCTCACCCTCCACATATCACCATTTCCCACCAGGATGGTGCCATCCCATTTCAGTCATCAGAGGAATCATGCTGCCTTTAAGAGCTTGACCTTGGCTTTCTAGTCATGACCTACAGCTTAACTGTCATCTCTCTGCCCTCCTCTGACCCACTGACCTAGAGTGGTCCCCCACCCTCAAGGGCCTGCTGGGCATTCCTTAGCTCACAGGCTTGTTGACTTCCTTCTGAGCATACGACTTCTTGACAGATCTGGACTCTGGATGTACTTCTGTATCATCTTCTTCAAACCAACAGGCTTGACCTCTGTCACTGTGCCATTCTGTGAAGCTAGATCATACCCCAAGGTGCTGTTGGAGATCTGATCCGCTCTTAATTGAACTTCACTCCCTTCAGGTCTTCTGCTGGCTTGACCCTCTTAGGCCATGTAACTGGGTTTTCTTCCTTTTCTTAGAAAAAATCCTATGATACACTGTCACTTCCTCTGAACCTTACTGAGGGAACTCTGATGACCTGGGACACGTGGAGGGTCTGCTGGGTGGGTTTTCACACACAGATCTGTAGACCACCGGACAGCCTTCCATCATCACTGTGGCTCCAGGAGCACACAGTTGTCTGGGATTCTAGAACTGGCCTCAGGAGAAAAGGCAAATGAGCAAAAATGAGACCACAAAGTAGAAATCAGAGTCCTGAGCATTTTTTTTTTTTTTAAAGATTTTATTTATTCATTTGACAGAGATCACAAGTAGGCAGAGAGGCAGGCATAGAGAGGAGGAAGCAGGCTCCCCGCTGAGAAGAAAGCCCAACGTGGGGCTCGATCCCAGGACCCCGAGATCATGACCCAAGCTGAAGGCAGAGGCTTTAACCCACTGAGCCACCCAGGCGCCCCCTGAGCATTTTTTTAAGAAGACTTTTAAAACATTTTATCATTGGTATTTAGAATATATTCCAAAAGATATATATTGTTTTAAGAGAGCCAAGAAGGGAAAAACCGTAAGGTTTCTTCTTTCAAAGATCACGGAGAGACCAGAATCGCTAGCTTCCCTTTACCACATTAGCAAGATGCACATCTCTGTTCTGTGAACTTTTGGGGGGCTGCAAATTCCACCTGTAACTAGCTTCCCCGTCTTGTCAGTTTGGTTTTATATACATGGGTTGCCTTTGTCCTTGGATATTAACAGGGTAATCGTCTAAATGATTATACTTTAAAATACTGGCTTTACATTTTCAAGTTTAACTGGGAGCAAAGGATTCAGAGACCATGAAGTCTGATCCCAACCATTTGTAGATGAGCCCCGCAGGTTCCAGAGCAAGCCTGTGCTTGTGTTTTTGAAACTGGTGAGAGGCAGGGCCCAGGGTGTCAGGCCAGGGCCACTAGCCACGGCTCCCTTTGCTCTGGGCTTCTTCTTGCTCTGGGGGAAGCATGTGACTGGCTTTCCAAGGGGGTGCATGTCAGGGGATGGCTGCCCTCACTGGAGCAGGTGGCTTCTTCTGGCTCACAGGAGCCAACACCTGTGTTCTGTTGTTTCAGGTAACTGGGCAGATGTTCCTGTTGGGGTTTTTTTGTATCGCTTTCTTGCTACAGCATTCCAGGTGCTCTGCTAATTCTTTTAATCATTTAACTGTCTTCTGTCAGTTAAGCTGGACAGGTTATGGCTTGCCGAAACTAAGGCTTAAGTAGATACGTAATACACGTGTTGTCTATTTGGTCCTTGATTCTGACTCACCAGGGACTCAGTGATTATAGAGCACAGAACCACGGCCTTTACTGGTCTGTTTTTCTGTTTCTCTTCGGATTGTAACACTTCTTCAGGTCCCCAGACTCGCCTGTCCTCTCCACGGTGCTGTTGAACCCTGCCAGTGAATTGGGGTTTTTTGTTTTGTTGTTGCTCTTGGTTACTGTTTTTCAGCCGGACAGTTTTCATTTCTTTCTTCAATGTTATGTCTCCTTGCTGAGACTTCCTGTGTTTGCATTTGCTTTAAAAAAAGTTGGCCCTTCCTTATCATGACTTTTTTTTTTTAATAGCTGCTTTCAAGTCTCTGTTCGATGATTCCAACATCTCGTATCATCTTGAACTTGGCATCAGTATCTGCTGATTATGTTTTCCCTCAGGAGTTGAGATTTTTCTGGTTTTTGATTATGCCAGGAACTTTGGAATGCTATCCTGGATATTCCGAATGTATCAGGGCTCTAGGTCCTGTTTAAATCCTAATGAGGACGTTGGTTTTTTTGTTTTGTTTTGTTGTAGCATGCAGCTGACCTAGCTGGGTTCAGGCCACAAGTTCCAACCAGCCATGGGTCACAGTGCCGGTGACAGTGCCAGTGGACAGCCCAGGTTTCAAAGCCTTGACATCGGGGCCGCACTGAGGGCGGGTCTGTGTCCGGGGCAGCACTCTCTCTCATGGCTCAGTTCTGTGTGGGTTGTTGAGGGACAGGCTGGCAGCTGAGCTCAAGGCCAGGAGTTCACGTACAAGCTCAAGAAGCTGCTGTTCCAAAGCACCCGTCCTTCGCCGTCTTTTGGTGCTTCCTGCTTCCCTGGGACTCCCCTTTTCGGTTATCTGGCCAGAAAGCGGGCTTCAGGTCCCCGATCTGCCACACACTACCTGTGGCTTGACCTGAGCCTGAGCCCAGCGGCATGAAGAAGGGAGACAAAAACATAAGGGATCCGCTCCACCCTGATGAGACCACAGCTGTCCTCATCAGAAAGGAACGTTCCCCTTCAGAATTTTGACTCCACCGGGCTCTGGCCGTTGCTGCCACAAGATTTTGGGGGAGCGGGTGTGCAAGAGAATAGAGAAAAGAAAAAAGAGGAAACCTGGGAACACTCTCTAGGTGTTGGGAGACTCCAGTGCCCCCCTGGAGCTCTCTGTGCTGATGCTCATTCTGGGGTTGTAGGCTGCACTGACCTCCCTCTGGGCAGTAAACTCTTTGCTGGGTCGGTGTTATTCCAAACCCTGGTCTTTCCCCCATCCCGTCTACCACGATTTACGATTCTTAGTCCTTAGCCGCTGCACACTCGCTGTCCTGGTTTTGTGGCCTCAGTGGGAAGGACAGAGGAGAGCGTGCTGCCTCCATTTCTCTGGGAACCTCAGAATCCTGCCCTTGAAAGCAAAGTCTCTACTCTGTGAGTCAGGTGCCCAGGGCCTACTTGGGCAGCCTTCCTCCGGTTCCCAGTGCCTTGACCCCAAAGGGCAGGCGGCAGACACAGAGCTTTACCAAGCAGGAGGGGTCATGTTCTTTTCAGCTGGTCCCTGTTCAAAAAAATGGGTGTGGAGAAGCTCCAAGGGTGCAGATCTATGTTATTAGAAACCTGTTGGAAATGACCTAATTGGTTAATTGCATTGTTACATTGTTGGGGAAAGCCTTCCATAGAAGGGAAGACCAAGTTAGGGGAAAGCAAAAGGTGAGAGGAGTGTGTGATGGGCCACCTTTTGTGCATTTTAAAGTGTGGGAATATGGGGCGCCTGGGTGGCTCAGTGGGTTAAGCGTCTGCCTTCTGCTCAGGTCATGATGTCAGGGTCCTGGGATCGAGCCCCGCATTGGGCTCTCTGCTCAGCAGGGAGCCTGCTTCCCCCTCTCCCCACCTGCCTCTCTGCCTACTTGTGATCTCTCTCGCTCTGTCAAATATTTTTTAAAAGATTTTATTTATTTGACAGAGCGAGAGAGAGCAAAAGTAGGCAGAGAGACAGAGAGAGAGAGATGGGGGAAGCAGGTTCCCCGCTGAGCAGAGAGTCCGATGCGGGGCTTGATTCCAGGACCCTGAGATCATGACCTGAGCTGAAGGCAGACGCCTAACCCACTGAGCCACCCAGGCACCCCAATAAATAAAATCTTAAAAAAAAGCGTGGGAATATAGAGGTGTATGATCCTATATTTACATGCACTGTATCCTTTTTGTTACCTGTGTAAGCACCATGCGTAAGGACTGTCTATTGAAAATAAAAGCTACCGTAAAACTAGTAACAGTGGTCTCAGAAGGAATCCCAGGGGCCTGAGCTGGCGGCTCTGTCGGAAGTAGCAGGTGGCAGCGGAGGCGGTGGGGAGTGTGTGATGCTAACGACCCTGACTTGCGTGTTGTGGGAATGTAGGTGGAGTTCCCAGAGGCCCGGATTTATGAGGAAACCCTCAATATTCTGTTGTACGAGGCCCAGGACGGCCGAGGACCTGACAATGCACTCCTGGAGGCCACCGGCGGGGCAGCGGGCCGCTCGCATCACCTGGATGAGGACGAAGAGCGGGAGCGGGAGCGGATCGAGCGTGTGCGGCGGATCCACATCAAGCGCCCAGACGACCGGGCCCACCTGCACCAGTGAGCCGGCCGACCTCAGCCGTCCCCGCCTCCTCCCTCCTCCTCCTCCCTGCTCTTCACTCCGATTCCTGCGGACTCCTGGGCACCGTCCAGGTCCCCTGCAGTCCGGAGATCCGTTTCTGTAACAAGCCAGATGATTATTTTGATACTTCTCAACCGGGTGACTGTCTTTCCCCAGGTGAATGCACCCCTGTTGTCGAGCAAGCTGTGTCCAAGGTCTCCCCCTTTCATGGGGATCTGAGAATCCTTGGAGCCAGGCTCTCTCAGCTCTCGGAGAAAAGTATGAATGGGTATGAAGTGGACGTGAGCAATTTTGTTTGCAGTATTTATTTTGGTGGGTGCTGATTCCCTGTTTGGGCTTTGGGGTGGCATTCTATCGGGGCTCAGTCTGGCCGCTCTGAGAGGGACCCTGCAGTTGGTGGCCACCACAGGTTTCCCTGAGCTCCCTGTTTCAGAACCCTCTGGGCTGGCGTGCTGGCTGCATTTCCCTGCGTTAGACCAGGCTGTTCTCCGGGTCTCTGCTAGAAGTCCATTCTGCCCCTGGGTTTCACCCCTGTGGTACCGGCAGATGATTGCAGTTTGTGGCAAAGATAGGACCAATGGGCTTCGTGCCTCTGACTGTTCGAGTGTAGCTCTCAGTTCCCAGCTCTGTTGGAGGGGCAGGCCTGTCAGGACCCCACACACCTGGCTAAGGGCAGAGCTGGCCCCGGCCGGAAGTGCACAGCTCTGTTCCTGGCTCCTTTCCCACCTCCTGCCCCTTCCACTTGTCCCCCTTGTTGACCCAACTCCGTCCTTAGGGCCACATGGCCTGGTTGTGGACGGAGCTCACATACATTCTGGGCTCATCGGCCTTCTTCCCTGTTAAGCTGGGCTTCCTGTCTCAAGTAGAAGTCCTGCCCTTTGCTTAGAAAGGGGACATGGCCAGGCCTCTATCCCCCGGCCTGGCATCCAGGCAGGGAGCCCGTTCACACCAGCAGTCTCGGGGCAGCTCGCCTGCTGTACGTAGCCCTCCCCCGGAGATCCCCTCTGTGTCTTTGCCTCTGAGTTTTACATGGTGTGGAGTGGCCACAGCGAGAGAGTTGGAGGATGTGCAGCTCCTTTGGGGTCCAGTTAAGTGTTTATGTTCATGTTTAAGGGACGTGTGCGACTGTAGATGGGAATGTGTTTGTGTGGAGTGCAGGCGGCCCGCACTGGAGCCCGGCTGTCTGCATGGTGCTTATGGAGGACGGATGTTCTCGGTTACCTACCTCCCAGCCTCCGCGCCTGTGAAGGGACAGAAGCGAGTGGTGACTGATGTGGCTGGTCACGACTAGACTAGGTAGACTAGTTGCAAGGAGATGTGAACGTGTGTTAGGTGATGGATGGGATTTGTCTGCTCTTCAAGGGAAATGTTACTGTTTTATACCAAAGGTATTAACATGGGCAGCCTTCGACACAGTGTATTCCAAAAAACGAGTTTCTATTTTGAAATGGTTTTTACAGCTTAGGCTTTGTACATACTGCCCTTCTTGGGACAGTGGTATGCCTTTATTTTGTATCGAGCAACAAAGTCTCCAATAAAACTTTAAAACAATCTTGACTGAACCTAAAAAATCATGTATGGGGGTCGAGGCCTTTTAAACTGTTGTGTGGGGAACTTTCTATTAGGCCATTAGGGTTTTATTAAGTGCTGGGGGGTGGGGCTTAAATACTGTTTCGTAAATATTTTATATACTGTTTGAGTTTTAAACACCAACCCTGACGTTTGGGTTGAACTTTTTTAGAAAGTTGAAGTGAATGTCAGTTGTGATGTTTTCTGTAGGAATGGAAAAGCCATCATACGAATTTTTTAACTCTTTCTGTGAGGAGTAAGTTTGTGGAACAATCGGATGTGTTTGGGCTTCTACACCGTATGAGCTAATGTTTCTGGCAGTCTTTACACTTGTCCTTAACTTTGTACTTGTAATTTTGAGCCTTTGCTTTCCTGGGATCGGAACAGGTTCCTGAAACATTCCGCGGTGTATGAGAACACCGTTAGCTTGCATAGCCAGGAGCTGACAGCAAGTGTTGGCTGGTCCAAGCTCTGTTAGCAAATGGATTCCACGAGGAACTGATTTTTATGCTAGCATGTGGGGCAAACAAAGGCCCATATTTATACTTAAAAACCACCTGAGTAAAACACTGACGTGAGATTTGGTAAAGAGTTAAGTTTTATTACACTGTAAGAGTTTACATACAGTTGAACAGCTTTTTCAAAGGCGGCCTTGTTTGTGGTGACTGGGGGGCTGTGCCCAAGACAATCCTGGAGTAGCCTCTTCTGTTGCCCCCCACGCTGAACCCCCACAGTAGGTAGCAGATGAGCAGCCTGGCCGAGATGCAGGGACCCCACACTCTGGGTAGGTGGGCTCCCCTGCCCCCTCACCTCCAGCAGCTGCTCGGGACCCACGTGGCAGCAGCTCAGCCCTCCTCGGCAGCTGGGCTCCTCCCAGTGTGATGGTAGCACGCCTCTGTGTCACTGACTTTCCTTTTTGTGCTATAAAAAAATGCTATAAACGTTAGAAGTAGTCACTGTATGTTGTACAAGCATTTGTGGACATGTAAAATAAAAGTTACATAATGCTTCTGTTTAAATGTTTTCTGGGTCTTTTCAGAAACACCCAGCACAATCTGGCAGTGTGGTGGGGTTCACAGCAAAGAGGGCAAGGCCTCTTTCCTCCATTCATTCTGCTTTATCGCCTGAAGTCGCCAGGGAGAGCCCAGCGGGGGTCATTGTTCTGTTCGCTGAGACCCTGCTGGAAGTCTTAGGTGGAAAGCAGAATCAGTCTGCTGGGGTTGCTGCCGCGTTAACACAAGGGAGGGGGGGCGGGACAGGGGAGACAGAAACACACTTAAGGCCGTGACATTTCTGCTACGGCTCCCCATCTGGAACCCAAAGCACCTAAGTTCCATTTAGTTAAAGCAAATTCAAAACATGCAGCTTTATCAAATTACAAGGACTCCCTCTCAGACCATGTGTGTATATATACTCCTCCCTGGTCCCTCAGGGGCAGCTTGACAAAGGTAGAGGATCTGCTGCACCCTATAGTGACACTTCCAAGTGCCCATCGAGGGAAGGACCTGGTAGGGACACAGCAACCCATCCCTGCAGGTGACCTGAGATTGGGCCACTGAGGAGCACCTTTCCCTTTAGTGCCCCAGGGCTGCTGAGAACTGGGAGATGGATGGATGCCACTCAGTTCCTTCAGAGCTGCTCCTCCGCCTGGAACCTTGGGGCCCTGTTCCCTTGAAGGTGTAGCTCCCTGGACAGCCTCCTGCTTCCTGGGTGCTTTCCTCAGCCGGAGCAGAGATGGTCCCGGGAGCGGTCAGGAGGACTTGGCGTGGACCGACACCTCGGGAGAGCACCCACAGTTAGGTTAGAGAACCTTCACGCCCCAGCGGTGGGCAGCGGCAGGCAGCGGCGGTGCGGACGAGCTTCGAGAAGCCGGCCCCACCTACCGCTGAGACAGCATTTAGAAAAGGACTCACTGAGGCTGCTTAGCAGTTTCAGCCCCAGCAAGTCAGGCGCTGAGCTGGGTGATGCCCAAGGCCAAATCCTTAAGGGTCACACCCCTAAGATGGCATGTGAGCTGAAAAGGCTGAAATGATACTTCAAAGATTTTAACTTCTCCCTGAAGGAGTTCAGGGGCAGTTATTTTAGGAAAGCCTTTTGGGTACTACTTACCCCCACAAAGACGGTTTCAAAGTTGCGGGGATGCAAATAGAAGTATGTACGAGACACCCCAGATATTGACAGACTTTTGGCTCATACATTTGTATCAGATGAGAATACAGCCTGCACCTACAAAATACCTCTCAAAGATTCAGCCCCCTCAGGTTTTAATCTGTCATTTCCTAGCAAGATGATATCACACTAAGCCCTGTGTACTACTTGCCAGTGAAGGCTATGGGGATGCCCAACTTAGCACACCCTGAGACTGATGGGGAAGACTAAGCACTGAGCACCCAGCCTGGACTTCACCAGACAGCAGTCAGCTCTGCTTTTCAGACCCAACATGGCTCCCATGGCAAAGAGCAGGCCACAGCCCGCACCAGTCCCATCACAGCGTCCAGGGCCGAGACTCTGGCATGGGTGTTTCTAGAAGCTGGCCAGGAGAGTCCAAGGCGGGAGACACCACAAAGCCTCAGCCTTCGCCCTCCAATGAAAAGTTGCCTTTGACGTTTAAAACTGAGAACCACTTAACATCACCATCCTGTTCACTAACAACTAGAAATGGGAGGTAAGCTTGCTTTCTTCAAACCCTTTCGTTCCCTGTGTGAATGTGTGCCTCAGGCATCAGTACCACCTGTTGTTTTGATGTAGAATCGGGAATAGAGGGAGACATGAAAAGTCAAGAGGAGGGCTGAAAATGGCCACATTTTAATCTGCGTTCTCAGGTAAAACTCACCTCCCACCACAGCCACTCACCACGGTTAACTGGCCATTTTTATCTTTATAGATTTGTTCTTCCGGCCCTGTATCAAAAACGATCGTGCCTTTTTTTCCAGGGCTGATATAAAACTGTAAACTGAAAACACACCAAGTAATCAGTCACTGACGTTCAGGAAATTCACTTACGGGGGGCTTCGAGATCAAATTCCCGTTTGTGTTATTACAGAGTTTTACTGCATATTTGAGTCCTCAAAAGACAACCATTGCCACAACCAGGAAACCTACCCCTTTTTTCTGTGACTATTTCCAGATCAACTTAGCTTGTTTAGTTCTTCAGGGGGCCCGTCACGGGATGGCCAGGGCTCCCGTCGGGGAAGTGCTCCCCACTCTCTCTCCCTCTTGCACAGAGGAATTTGCCCATCAGTTTACCGGGGCTTGAGACCCACTAAGAGCAGCAGCATTGGGGGGCGGAGGGGCGCAGGCTGCCTGTAGGAGATCTGGGAGTCTCCGGGATTCAGCCTCAGGGACCCCCACACTGTCCCTGACCAGCCAGCTGACATGGGCCTGCTGCTCAACCACCTTGTGCCCGTGTAACAGAAAACATGGCGGTGGCTTCAGACTTGAGAAAGACTCAGGTAAGAGCACCCTCTGTGCCAAGTATTTTTCCTCTATGCCCTAAAGAAATGTTCTCCCTGGCCACTCATCCATGGTAAGCAGCCTGCCAGGCTTGGCCCATGGTGTTCAGACAACAGGCCTCAACCAGGGGAAGGTGCAGCTGTCACCTGTCCTGGCCCAGAGGTCCACCCTTCACTGGCTGATGGCTTCCCCCAGGGACGGAAGGCCCTCCTTGGAGAACTGGGCCATCAGCCCCTAGGTCGCCTTGGAGAACAAGGGATGGCTGAAGAAATACCTACCTTCCCTGAACGACATTCACAATGTTCCCCCTCTTTGCCAGCATGACAAGCTTGGTGACCGCTTCAAAAACGTGCTCACACTGTAAGACGGCATCGCCCTGAGGCAGAGAGGACATGGTGGTTTCAGAAGCAGTGGCTTCAAAGAAAAATACGCTTCCCTACGGAGGCTTCCCGGTGGTCAGCTCAGCGTGGCAGGGTCTCTCTCCCCTGGCAGACACCAGTGGCCGTTGCTTACCTTTTGCTTGTGGTCCTCTGGTGAGACGTGAATGACCAAGATGCCATCACTGAGGCTACTAGTAGAGACACCTGAGGACAGACTCCTGAGTTAGGGACCTGGAACTGGACAACCTGACATTCACGCAGAAAAAAGAAGCGGTGTACCTGGGGGCACCCCCACCCCACCCTCTGTCCCTCCTTGCTGGGCCCCAGAGGGTGAAGGGCACACCCCAGCGGTCAGCATTGCTAGGAGGCTGTGAAGGGCTGCGCTCGGGCTACAACACAGGTCCTCGGAGAAGGTGACTGTCGTCCAACCTGGATTCTTGGGGGAAGGGGCGGCCGCTGACATTTATGCCAGGAAAAAACATACAGGCCAGGCCCGGGCAGCCAGCCTCAAGCTTTCTGGGCACCCTACACTTCTGTCTTCCAGTAGAGGGTGTCTTCCTTACTGGTGTGTCCCCGTCCCATTCCCCACTGCCCGGGGAGCTAAGTCAATCCAGGGAACGGTCTGAATACAGATGGCTTCTTACCTCTGAGGGCTGAGTATTCTATTTTCTGCTTGATTTTGGCAAGCTCCACCACATAAGCTACCTTCTGAGTCAGGAGGAGTTGGCGCAGCCGGGCCTTGAAGCCTGTCCTGTCATATTTGATGACCGGGATACCATACTGCAAGGAAGGCAAGGTGACTCCGTAGGGGGACAGGGCAGAGGACAGAGTTCCTTGTTCCTCCAGACTCTGCTAAGACCAGTTACTTGAAGCACTCAGAGAGAGAGAGGCTCACACAGACTGGTATTACCACAGAGAGAGAGACAAAGAGAGGCTTACATAACCTGGTATTACCACACAGCGTTTCCCACCATTGACTCCTTCGGCCTCTCACTATCCCCGCCATCCCCACTCACAGAAGGACAGAGACGGCAAGAGCTTCAGGAACCTGCCCGGATGGCACACAGCTAAGTTACAATGCCCATGCTGACACCCTGCCATATTGCTTCTAATAGGAGACGTTCAGTGATGAAGTTCATGGCTGCACTG